GATTTCCCTTAACAAAGTCAAATAGTATTAATGACGATACGATTTGTTGTCTTGTGATTTAAACTCTCTTCTCCCCTATCTGTATAAACCGGTTTATACCGTTTCCACCATTTGCTTGCTAAATCCACTCTCTGAAATTCGAAGTAGTCTGAGGAGAGAGACAGAGAGAGAGAGAGAGAGAAAGGGAAAGAGAGGGAGATGGAAATGAAAAGGAATTTGTTGATGACGCAAAACGGAATGTTTCAAGATTTCAACACTAAAACGAATATTTTCTCTATACAGTAAAAAATATTTCGTATTTTGAAACACGTCAAAATATTCGTTGTTACTCTATGTACATATTTTTAAATTTTTATCTAACAATTTTGTTTGCGATTAAGTAATTATTTGTTTTGTTTACGATTTAATACCCGTACATATTGTTCATCAATTTATTATCGTTCGTTGTTAATACATTTTTAAAATAATAAACAATTTTCAATATTAATTAGAATAATATATGATGTATAAAATGAAATTATAAATGTTATAAATATTGCAAATATTTTGTAATTTTAAATATTAATTAGAATAATATACAATGTATTATATAAAAATAACTATTATAAATATTACAAAAATTATTTTTCTTTGAATGTATTGATCAAAATTTAGTTTTATTATACACCTTCTCGAATTTATCGAACTGCAATGTCCGAGTTTTAAGGTTCGATACGTCAAATCGTTTTTTATCGAGAACGATAGTTTTGCAGATTTTTGGCTGACCATGGAAAAAATCGAATGTGCGATACTAGCTAGTCTCTCTCTCTCTTTCTCTGGTAATATGATGGGTGTTGAAGGATATTGATAGGCAATAGAATTCAAATTGAAGATCGATACGTCAAATAATTTCCACGTTAGTTCCTAACATTTAAAAGAAATTATTCATTCGATAAACGTCATGATTGAAAAATTTCGAGATAATGTTAAAATAATAATACTTGAATAAAAATCATCAAAAGAAAATTATTATAAAATGATTCAATGTTTTTCAAATTAATTGGATTTTTTCTCGTATATTTAAATTCGTATTTTTAATTTATTCGTAAATTTAAATTGTAATTAATCGTACGATACATGCAAATGATTTCAAATACCAAAGAGAACACCAAAAAAGAAAAAAAAAGTAAATGACTATGAAATGATTCGATTGTGTTTAAGATACGCATGTATGAAGGTACACGATATTTCGAGATCCTATGACGTGATGATAATGGTTTTGGCTTGATACGCATGTACCTAACAAGCGAGAATATCGAAGAGAATATCGAATGTATTATAGCTAGTGAATATGGTTACTGGCGAGTAGACAATGAACTGGATTATATGCCGATGTGTACGATACGTAGTACAAGCATTCGATCGAATATAAATTCTATATACGATGTCTACGATGGATACATTGAGAATTGTTCAGCATATTTTTATTATTAAAGAGTAAAGTTTTTTACTCTTTACAAAAAAGAAACTTCACTGTGAAAAAAAAAAAATATAAAAAAAGAAATAAAATGAAAAAAGAAAGGAGAAATCGATTATAAATTTTAATAGGAAATAACTTTACGATCAGATAGTTAAAAAAAAAAAAAAAAGATATAAAAATAATTCTTTCACAAAAATGAATTCCAATTAATTTGAAAATAATTTCTAACCATTTGTAATTATTCATTTAATGAAATTATTCAAAACAATTCTATGTATAGGTACTTCTATCCAAAATCTGTTAGTCATTTAGTTTGAAATCGCGTCTTACCGATTATAAGATTTCATGATATTCCACAAGAGTATAATATGCACCTAGAAATTCCTATCGCTTTGTGAACCTACCAGCAGGTTCAATGTCGTAGATTTTACTCGACTCATGAGGTTCGGTATTAGAGATAGGAATGGCATTTGCTCATGAGTTAAGCAGGTTAATATCCATACCTACATGCTTCTACTTCTCTATGCCCTCTCCTTCACCTCCTCCATCTCCTCCACCTCTTCCTCCTCTTCCTCCTCCTGCTCTTCCTCACCACTACCACCTCTTCACACCATATATAACTCTGTCTCAAGCATTTCAGTTTCTCTCTCTCTCTCTCTCTTACTCTTTGTCTACTATTCAGTACTGTGAAGCCGATACACAGAGAGAGTATGAGAGAGAGTGAGAGAGAGAGAGAGAAGGAATGTTGAAATTACGCGATATGGCGAGGACAATCAGACCGAGTGAAGCGTTTGCTATTATAGGATTCCTAAGCGTAACACAAAGCAAGAAAAGCGAAGTACTATTAAATCGAGACATTTCGATATCGAATATCTCATGAATTTGTAATGTAATTATAAGATATTATTAGCTTTTGTCTTTTGAATTAATATCTCATTCGAGTTATTATCTAATTATTTGCAAAAATTATTGTCGTTTTAACACTTCAAATATATATGTTTAGTAAACTACGTAATTGGGATTGATTTATAAAAAAAAAAAAAGTAATATCCTAATAATTTATTTAAAGATTTGGAATTTTTTTTAAATATTAAGTTGTCCCAAAAGTTTCTTTCTTTTTAGTAATTCCATAGGTATTTTATATATTATTATTATTATATATTTATATATTATAAATGATTTTTGTTATGTGCTTAGTAAATTATGTAATTGGAATTGATTTATAGAAAAAAAGAAATATCCCAATAATTTATTTAGTGATTTGAAGGATTTTTAAAATATATAAATATATAATATATTAAATATCTTATAAATTACTATTTATAAATTAATATTATATATTTATAAATTATAAATGATTATTATTATTCTAGTTAAGACATTTACGATGTCATGTTCGACTAATAAATTATGAATCGTTACCATACATTTTACAATGAAACATATTACATAATATTACATGATATTACATAAACCAGAAAAAAGGTAATGCGTGTATTCCAATGTGTAATTAAAGTAAAATAGAAAAAATTCTGTATTTTTTCTTGAATAATTATAACTGATTGAATATATAAATTGCAACATAAAGTCAATTTATTCTGATTCTTGACACAATTCCTCAGTTTTTATATTGTATTCTTTTTAATATTAATTATATTCATTACAATACTACAAAGTTACAAACAGAAAAAAGAAAACAAATGATTTATTTGAATAAATATTAAGTAAAACTATACTTGACTTTTATTTCCTAGTCTCTTAGGTGATGTACTTCACATATGCAAATGAGTATTCATATATAAATAATTCACGAGTTGATAGAAATGAGGTTTTTTTTTTGTGTTTTGTCCGCACGTGTAAAAGGCGGTGTCCTTGATATCCGGGCAAAGTACGATCTTTTTTTTTTTTTAGAAAAAGTCTTCCTGTTTGTTTACTATTTCTCCAATTTTGTTTCAAGAAGCAAAGAATATCTTAATCGTAGGATTATCTTATCAGTGTTAACATATAATAATTGCTTCAAACAGACTACACTTTTGAAATTTTCTTTTATTTGATTTCATTAATTTAACTAATTTGTTCGAATTATCATAGAATAGATTTTTTGTTTATCTAAGCAACAAATAAATATATTTTACAAATTTATCATGAATCGTTACCGGATGATATAATAAAACCAGACAAAATAGAATTACGTGCAATTTAATGCATAATTATATAAAAAATTTATATATCATATATCATATCAATACGATAGAATACAAGGTGTATATATTTTTTTTCTTGAACAATAAAAAACTTGTTGATGTAGTTTTAAATAAATACAATATAAAGTCATTTAATTGCCACGTAAATCTCAGTTATTTTTATTCATCGATATAACTTGTCTCAACGTTTCATTTTTTCCATTCGTTTCGTAATTATTCATTAGCATAATACAAAGTCAGAAATAACAAAAAAAAATCGAAATAAACAAGCTGTCTTCGTTATTATAACGAAGTACGTCATTCCTAATCTTTTTTAGAAAGTCATCCCCACTTGTTTATTCTTCCAAAATTTATTTTAGAAAGCTATGAATACTAAAATTATCTTTTCACTTTGCTTCAAACAATTATATTTCTATAATTTTCTAATTCATTTAAATTCATCGTAGAATATATTTCTATAATTGTTGCTTAAATAACAATAATAATAATATTATTCTACTTAACACGTTCCGTGCCAAAACTCTTTTTACCTGACTCGTCATTCAGGTCATTTAATTTTGCTTTAACAAAATCAACCATTACATGTAATTATTAATTATTGTAAATATAAAAATTAAACAAACTTAGGTGCTTTGTTCTATACTGCATTTTGTATGATGTATCAATATTTTTATAGAAATATTCTTTTACGGAATTAAATTTCTTATAAACATATATTTTTTAGCATATTAAATAAATATGTCTAATGGTAAGTATAACACTGGTGGTACGCGTGGCACGGAACGTGTTAATAAATAAATTTGATAAAAGAAATTAGATTCATAAAACCATTTTTAAAATAAATCTATTTCAAGCGATAACTAAAAATAATTCTATGATAATTTTAAATCTCATTTTGGGCAATGGGTTATACTACTACTATTGGAATAGCAGAAGTGTTTAGAATTAGTTACATGAATGTGTGTTAAAGAGGGAATGGATGAACGTCGTATATGATTTGTAATGATTGGTTTGTAAAAATATGTTTGTATATGATTGGTTGGTGGATGATCACTCCACTGAATGACTATGAGGATTGACAAATCAGAAAGTTGAAAAAAACCAACGTTAGATGTTGGGTAACTGAAGTAAAAGGACGCTGCCAACAGTTAACATAAGATATTATTAGGATAGTAGTCGAACTTTGATGGTTGAAGACGTTGAACGAGTTGTTGGAATAGTGTAAAGTAATACGAATCAAAATGTTACACAAAATACATCAGGAAAAAATAAAATAAACAATAAAAGTATTAAGAAGAAGAAGAAGAAGATGAAGAAGAAAAAAAAGAAGAAAAAGAAGAAGAAGAAGAAGAAGAAGAGAAGATAATCGAATATAATAATTAATAATATTTCAATCAAAAAAAAAAAAAAAAGGAGCCTTTTTAGGCGTGGAAACGAGAAATTAAACAACGAGAAGAACTTGACCTTGCATGACATCAGAAGCTATCGATGCTACGATAACTGATTTAGAAACTAAAGGTACATGGCGTATTGCAGATTAAAAAACAACAAAAAATAAGTTTTAATAAAACAAATTCAATCTCAGAAATCACAGTGAATTACTTAAACAACAAACCAGATAATTTTTAACGTATGAGAAAGGACAAGTTAAAAATATGAAACTGGCGTATGATTTAAACCAACGAATGCAACATAAGATATGAAATTTAACACGTTGAATGTTGTGTCAGTCATTGATGAACGAAAAGTTCAGTAAAGGTTCCATCATTTTCTTTCTAAATTCGCTTGTTATTAAACGTGTTTTTAGAGAAAGACATTTCAATGGATTAGATTCTAGAACCTAACACGTTCGAATGACATTTAATAAATTAATCGAAGGAGTTAGGAAACAAGTATCGTTTGTGACGTAGCAAGATATATAAGGGAGAAGGAAGTTTGAGGCAAGAATTTTCTTCAGCGAAGAAGTTAACATTCCGAGACCAGTGCGCATGACAAGAAGATCACTGTGGTCATCATATTGCGTACCAATCGATGATATCAATAATTTAAACTACCTTATCGACCAAATATCAGATTGGTCATTGCATATTCGTTGTTTTCCTGACGATAAAGTGCCATCTAATCGACGGGAATCAAAATTCAACGAGTTGACGAATTCGATCAGGAAAGTCAACTTATCAAATAAAAAATGTAAGTAAAAAACACCCCACGATATATAATAATAATACGAATAATAATAATAATAATAATAATAATAATAATAATAATAATAATAATAATAATAATAATAATAATAATAATAATAATAATAATAAAACCTGTTTTTATTCTAGTGTACGCCAAGTTACATCAATGTGACGTGTTCTGTGAAAAAACGGGGACTTAGGCCGAAATGTTTTCATTGCTAATAGCATAAACGACACACATAAAAGAAGGAGAAGTCGAAGAAAAGGCAAAGCTGTGGCCCAAGTGCAATATGTGAAGTATATTAAAACAATAATAATTTTTGATAAAGAAGCTTTTGTTTAACGCCAAGAATAAAAGATTTTAAAAGACGCGTACACGTAAGAATAGTATCGTCAAGTATTCATAATTCATTACACTTTCAAACTAATTGAAAACAATATTATCATTCGCAAACATAGGGATATGTATCAAAACTATATTTAATTATTTAATATTCTACATTATATTTCAATATTTTAAAAATATATTTTACATGGAATTGCTGCTTAAATATATTTATCATATTCACTTACATATATAGAAGGATTCTATTTTTCTATTTCATTTCAGATTCTATTTTTCATTCATTTAAAGTTTCAGCCTGACAAAATAATCGAAAAATCTTAAATTTACAATTTAAAGAACAATAACTTTCAACCTATATGAATTCAATGATTACCAATTCAAACAGATTAACAAGAATTATAGAAATTTTTTTACAAACAAATTTAAAAATATTTGTTTAAATTTTAGAAACCTGTAATAGAAACGAAATAGATATCTTCCATTCTGTACATCTGTGTACTTTAGATATAGTATATAAGATTTGGAAAATGTGTAAAGTTCAATACGTCTGTATAAATAATTTTATTAGAATTGATTTTATATTGATACAAATAGATAGTCTGCTTAGGTACTGATCTTAATTTACAAAATAATCCGGAATCCATATTTGATAAATATATTTTATAGTAGTTATAAAAAAAAATTTTAATTAATTAGAATATCATGTAATGTTATTTCATATTTATTTTCTTAATGATTTTCATTCTTATTCAGAGCGATGAACATAGGTATACAAAGGATCATCAAAATCTGATAACACATCCTGATATAATTTTTTACTATTTATCTATAGAAGAAAAAAACACAGGAACTTGTATCAGACATGAATAAGATAACAAACGAGGTATAAATAAAAACAAATTCTTTTTTTATATTAGCTTATTTTACATAATTATTTTATTGCTAAAAACAAAAAAAAATTATATCTTAGTCGTAAATATATATATATATATATATAACTTTAATTCGTCAAGATTGTTAAGAAAAAAAAAAATCTATAAAAAAAAATAAAATTACACAAAAATCGAAAGAACTAGATGCAAGTTAGAATAATAATTTTACGAAAAACTTTATTGTTTATTGTGATTCATATTAATAAAACTTTTATCACACAATACTTAATAATATATTAAATATACTTTAGACTGAAAAAAAAAAAAAATATATATGTACATTTCTCGACGTGCTATTTAAATAATATTACATCGAAATAGAAAATTTGAAGCAAGATATTCGCAATGAAATTTATAATATAATTTTTGCAGTAAATTAATTTTAATTAAATGTAAAATCAAATTTGTTTTATAGAACAAAAATGACAAAGAGTTTATATTAATTTTTAGGGAAATGATACAACTTTAAATACATTGACGATTTTATTTTGAATGCTTGCAACGTTTCCCGAAATTCAAATACGCACAAATAACATTTAAACCATACATTAGTTGTCATTACTGTTTAAAAATAAAAATACTTTTATACTAAACTTGTATCATGTTTACCACATTTCCGATTGCAGAAACAAGGGTATGAAAAACTATACGAAATGTACAGTTCAAGCAATCCAAAAGATAATCCTGTTTAATATCAAGACATTAATGATATAAGATTTTTGGAACGTTTGGAACGTGTAATTAAGGAAACATTACGTTTATATCCTTCAACTCCTTTCGTTGGACGAACATCATCTGAAGATATAAATATTAGGCCTTCCATTTTTACTGGATAGTCTGTATGAGCAGTAACATGTCTTAACAAAGTAGAAGCTATAAAAATCTCATTACGATCAGTGCAAATTTTTGTCCTATAAAAGCGACACTTAATGTACAATTTATTTTGCTAAGCACCTGTTTAGAATACGATTTCAACAACATATAAAAATATACTACGACCTATGCATCCTCTTTTCCAGAACTGAAGGGCTAAGAAACACTTTTTGTCATAATTTCCTGGCAGGAACCGTTCAGGATTAAATCTTAATGGATCAATCCAATATTTTTCCTTCCGATGAAGTGAATAGATTGCACAAAATGCAGTGCAATTCTACGATATTATCGTATGTACAAAATACAGGATTGCATCAGGATTACGTCAGGGTTTGAAGGCTTATAAAGTCTTTAGGTACCATTCATGGTTTTAAAAGTAAGCACGTTATCATTCTCACTCGATAAAATAAATAAATACATATTATATATTACTACATAAAATAATAATGTCAATGGTAAATAAAATATACAAATAGTTGTTTAGTATTTGTAAGAAATAAATTTGATAAATCTGCAAACCCTGACGTAAATCTGACGCAATCCTGTAGGTTGTACAATATATTCACTTCACCGGAAAGAAAAATATTGGATAAATTCATTACGAGTCAATTCTGATCGGTTCCTGCTACGAAATTATGACAAAAAAAGTTTTTTACCCTTCAGCTCTGGGAAAGAGGATGCATAGGTAACAGTATATTTTTATAGATTGTTAATATCGTATTCTAAACAATTCTTCAGCAAAATAAATATAAATTAAGTATCGTTTTTATAGGACAAACATTTAAAATGAACGTAATAAAAATAATATAAGCTAATTTGTTAAGACACGTTACTGTTTAAACAGACAATCTAATAAAAGTTGAAGATATTAGCATAAAATTTGTATCTTTAGATGATGTTCGTGCAACGTAAGAAAATGAATGAAATAGACGAAGTGTTTCCTTAATTACTCTTTCCAAAAATTTCATATCATTAATATCTTGATATTTAGCAGGACTATTTTTTGGATTGCTTGAACCGTACATATCGTACAATTCTTGATACGCTTATTTTTAAAATCAGAAATGTGGAAAGCATGATACAAGTTTAGTATAAAAGTATTTTTATTTTTAAAAAGTAATGACAACTAATGTATGGTTTAATTGTTATTTGTGAGTATTTGAATTTCTGGAAATGATGCAAGCATTGAAAATAAGATATAAAAAAAAAAGAACTTCAATGTATCAGAAGTTGTATCGCTTCCCTAAAAAGTAACAACAATTATTTTTAATCTTTATTCTATTAAAGAAATTTTTATTTAAATTAAAATAAACTAAATTTATTGTAAAAATCATAATATATATTTCATCACGAATATCTTGCTTCAAATTTTCTCCTCCGACGTAAGATTATTCAAATAGCGCATCGAGAAATGTACATACATTTATTTTTTTAAATCAACATCATATATAATATTCTATTTAGTATTTTGATAAAAGTATTATTAACATGAATTGATTAAAAATCAAATTTGTTATAAATAATAAAAAATATATAAAATAATAATTACGTTTTTGTTTATACCTCGTTTGTTATATTATTAATGTGTGATAAAAGTTCCTATGTTTTTCTTCCGTAAATGAATTGTAAAAAGTTATATCAGGATGTAACCAGATTTTGATGATCCTTTGTATACATATGTCCATCGCTCTGAATAAAAATAAAAATCAATAAAAAAAATACTAATATACAATATATCATTGAATTATATTATAACTATTACGATATTGTTCTTATAATTATTCTGAGTAATTCAAGATTCGATTCTGGATTTTTCTGTAAATTTAAATCAGTACCTAAACAGACTATCTATTTGTATCAATATAAGATTAATTCTAATATATTCATATTTCTAATATATTTATATTTATACAAATATATTGAACTTTACAAATTTTCCAAATCTTATCATATACTGCATCTAAAGTACACAGATGTGCATAATGGAATATGTCTATTTTGTTTCTGTTACAGGTTTTTAAAATTGTAATTAGTATTCTTAAATTTGTTTGTAACGAAATTTCTATAATTCTCGTTAATCGGTTTGAATTGGTAATTACTGAATTCATATAGGTTGAAAGTCATTGTTCTTTAAATTGTAAATTTACGATTTTTCGATGATTTTGCCAGGCTGAAACTTTTAATGAAAGAAAATACTTTTTATGTATTTGCTTTTTTCAAATTTTGTTTTTTCCTGTATTTTTATTAATTGGGAAACAGAACAAGAGAATTCTTCTATATGTAAGTGAATATGATAAATATCTTTTAAGCAGCAATTCCATGTAAAATATATTATATGTTTATATAATTCCATGAAAATATTGAAACTAGGATTAATATAAACATTTTATTTTGAACATTTCTATATTGGAAAATTTCATTAGCTGTATTAACACTAGATTCCCGAAATTTGTCAATTTGACTTATTTACGATTTTATAGCTATGTTATATTTTGAAAAACTTACAGAATATTTTTTGAAAAATATGTTTCAAATATACTATTTTTAAATGTATAGAGAGATACTTATTCATTCCTCTTTGCACTTGTTAATTTCACAAATTTTTACGTGCTATACCTGGATGTAAGTTAAATTGGCTCATTTTTATATTTGATCGTTTTACATACATCTAACTTATTTTTTATGCATATAAATGCTTTCTAACTAACATACAAAATATTGAAAATGGTTTCGTATTGTCAAGTTCAAGTATCATAGAAAAGAAATAGATGTAAGCGCGTCGTTTGTGTTAAGGCAGGATTCTACTTTAGTCGCTCGAAAAAAATAGGTATTTTTGTCAATTTTTTATTAGAAAACTAAGAAAGATATTGATGTAGGGTTTGTTGTGCTTCATAAATATACACTTAAAGTACATTAAAAAATTTTTTAAATTTATTTTATACGCTCTATATACATTGGAAAGGCCCTTGAACTGAACGCCTAAAAATAGTCTAGCCTTTGCGGTGTTGTAAAAATTTTTACATCGGATTATCTGAAATGAAAAACTCGAATAGTTCTATGTTTACAAAGACTACAGCAACCGGTGGTAGCAGATTTTTTCATTTACAAGCAAAAATAACAAAATGGCGTCAGTTGAAAAAAAATTATCAAAAAAATCTCATTTTTTTTCTCATTTTTTGTCAAAAAAAAAAATAGTTAAAATGAAAATTTTTTTATAAATCTGCTACCACCGGTTGATATATGTGTATAGATTATGTGGTAAAAATTTCAGACGAATCG